ACAAAAACGTTTTGTTAATGTGCCTGATCAAATCTCACCATTGTCAGGAAGCATAATCCTCCTGAGTGCCTGCAGGCGCCCCGAGCTTCACACTGAGATGAGGATAAACCAGTAGGCCACAGGTACGACCATTTTAAATGTGGGACTGGACTAGTTCCTGGTGTGTCGTAACTGTCGCCTACTACATTTAGGAGCACTTTTAGTCGTGGACAAGTAATGAGGTCTGAACATGCAAAGTGGTTCTAGGGGATAACTGCGGTTTTTGTTTGTTTGTTTGTCTTTCAAAACTCATATACAATTCATATACATTAACTCTAATGTTAAACTGGTAGAGATTTGATTAAAAATGGAGCCCTACAGGAGAGCAGCAAAATTTCTAACTCCAAAAATTAACTGATTTATACCAGTGATTTTGTTAGTATTTGTCTTATAATCACTAACTTGAGGTCATAGGTCACCCCACTTACGATCACACTGAGAATCATTGTGTAATTACTATTATTTTTTATATCTGTGACATAGGAAAAATATGTAGGATTAAATCTGACCAGAAAATAGAGAGCAAGAGATAAAGAATGTATCCGCATAACAAACTCATGGAAGTCCTGGAGCTTCATGGCATCAGGATGACAGAAAGCTAAATGTATATGAGGCTTACATGCAGCATTTAATTTATCATATTCAAAGACAGCAAGTTAAGAGCATCATTTCCATTTTTAAATGTTACATTCAAGTTGATACATTTTCTCCATGTCACTCCATTTGGCCCCTACCACTGCACCTTTCCACTGAAAAAGACAAAAAGCTATTACAGAAGCTGAGTAACATCCTGTTAAGTCTACTTTTCAAACAATGACCAACCCTGATCTACTATAAAACTCAGTCTAGTTTTTTTTTATTTTTTATTATTAGTTCATTCTTTTACACCTTAATGCCGTGTAATGGAGCGACGTCTTTCCTTTCACGGTCTTGCATTATTTTTTAATTATTCTCTAACTCTCAGCAGTTAAGCCCTCCTGCGCAAAGTCTGCCTCAACCTGTGTGGCATTTGTAAATTGCTGAACAGCCTGTAAGCTTTCTAAATAGCCCCTAAAGATCCAAAATAGGAATCTTTGTCTGCTGTTTTCTGTTTTTCTACCCTTTGCTATAATTAAGACTTTGCACCCCTGTTTGACACATAAGATGCCACCAACTAAGGATGCTTGGTAACGGGACCATACACAAACTCCCCTCTGTTCAAACATCATGTCACTGAGCTGGAGCTGAATGTGTCTGTTTACTGGGCTTTGTTTAATTGACGCTGGATTGCCGGGGCTGACATGGAAAACAATTAGGGTGAAATTCTGTCGCTTTAGCCACTGTGAAACAGCCCAAACAGATTGCAATCTTAACTCAGAGAACTGACTCATAAGAGCCTAATCCTGTTGATGGAAACAGAATCCCACCCGTGTCAAAACAGCCCGCTGCCCCAGGTGCAGTACCCACACAAGCCCTGGCTTGTCTCCCTTTATCACAGCTGATGAATTGAGAGGGCCCTCTTGGGCACGCAGCCCAGGCTGTGGTTTGGCTAATTAGAAGGTCTGTTTTCTCATAAATATCTATAGTGATGAAAATTAGGCAAATAAAGGCTGTAGTTACAGCCTGTGAAAGTGTGAGATGCAAATTCTGAAGAGTGACCACGTGAAAGAGAATCTGGGTGATGGGTGTCTTTTTAAATGCAAGAATTTCCCAAATTTTATTCTTTAAGTTTGTGATATATTACTCAGATTGCCTTGCATAGGAGCCACTTTTGCAACATGACAGGGAGCCAGGGACCAATCAGTACATTAACATTAATAAGGTAATATACTCAGCTCAGACCTCTCCTGATCTTCTTCCCCCTTTTTTTAAATTTTTTTTTATAAATGCTTTTTTATGCTCGCTGGAACTTTATTTACATTAAAAATATGAAAAAAGTTCCCAGTGTGAATCAATTTATTTTCATTGTTTAGTAGAAAATGTTTGGCAGGCCACCCAGCACCCGGCTACAAGTTGGGTGTCACTGCCTAACATGCTGCAAAACTGAGACTTTTATTGTAAAGAATCTACCAAATTCACCACTTTTCATAAAGCTAATTCAGAAATAACACTGTCAGTGAACAGTAGAATGCATAATGTGAGGTATTTTTTATTAGAAATTACCAACGGGACCCCTACATCGTTAAGTAATACATTCAACTGCAAATAAGGCACATTAGGCATCTGTTAAGTTCAGTTTAACGGCTGATAATGAGATCAGACTGATAGGTTATCTCTGTATCTTTCAGTGTCAGTGACAATTTTAAAGCAAGGATGGTCCCGTAATCACATTGTCCTGACTAAGTCTTACTGATAGCTGTAAACAAAGGCTCAAGCCCTCCTTAGATAAGCTATGCTCCCTGATAGTAGATTTCACATCTGAGCAGAAAGTAAGCCCTGTTTTAAGCCTGACATCTGTGCCATAACTTCAGCTAGTTGAAGTGTTTCCCAATGCTCACCATAATGTTTATTTGTTACATTTAAAGTTGAATTGGGAAGCGCAAAGTAAATGTTCATAACAGGAAAAATATATCCACTGAAGATTTCAACTATTAAATACAAAGCAGAAACAAGAGAATCATAAAAACTGTCAAAACTTGCAGGAACTGAACTGAAAAAACATGGAGCCTTTGATCATAGACGTTCATACTTTATATTTCAGAAAATTAAAGGTCCATTGTGTGGAATTTAGTGACATCTAGTGGTGAGGTTGCAGATTACAACCAAGTCAGACTTCACCCATGTGCCAAGCCTGTAGGAGAACTGTGGTGGTCCAAGCAATAATGCCAGTAGCCCCATCTAGTTTGTCCGTTGTGGGCCTTTTTTGCAAAAACAACATGGCAGACAGGAAGAGGACTCGCTCAGTATGTAGATATAAACGGCTCATTCTAATATTACAAAAACACAGTTCTTTTTTCAGGTGATTATAATCAAATGAAAATATTGTTATGAGTATTATATTACATTTTTGCCCATATTTACCCCTAAGTCCAACACACTGGACATTTAAGCACAAACGTCCTGCTTACTTTTCAGTGCTTTCAAGCATTGCAAAACAAGTAAATCTTAAATTATTTCATTTTAACTGCTAGACAACACATCTCCTGTTTCAATCAGGAGACAGAAGAGTAAAGTAAAGATAATATTGAATACAGAATAGGAGTGTACAGATTAGCAGATGAGTTGTGCTGAACACCAGATGGAGATATTTTGTGATTGAAGGACATCTGAGCAGCAGCAGGATAAATCCCCCCATGGAGTCCAGATATTGGTGCTGGTGGTGGCTGATGACTCTGAGGCTGCTGGCTGATGAGGCGGATGAGGCTGATGAATCCGTAGAGACTGAGTGGTGATGGAGAGATGGCAGGCGCGCACGACAGCAGCAAGAGAGAACTACGACAGAGACAGAACCTTATTTAAAATGAGGAGCAGTAAATGTGATAGGCTGACAGAGAAGGTGTGTCGCTGTGCTATTGGTTGATTGTGAATCAGCTGATGACTCAATTGACCTACCCAGACAATGTCACCTAGAAATAATGTACGCATACATGCAAGGAGTGAATGGCAGGGAGAGAAAGAAACTTACAGCCTGAGCATGAAAGTATTGTCTTCCTGACTGAACCTTTGCTAGAGCTTCATTTCACTGACAAGTCCATTCTCAGTGTCAGTGAACTGGAGACTTTAAGTTTCTACATCAAACTTCCAAAGTAGCTGTGAGTTGAGATGAGCACAGAGAAACTTTCCCTCTTCAGCTTGAAAACAGAAATCTAGTGTAAAAATGAAAAATGAAGCCAATGTGGAAGTGCCAAAAACTGCAGTTCTTTGAATGGCCATCCGAGGCTGGCTCCAGAAGTCAGTCAGTCCCCATAGACCCCCATTTTAAACTGCTGAACTTTACAGCAGAAATAAACACACTTACAGCCTGATACAAAAATGGTTTTGTTCTCTATAGCTAATTTCAACATTCATGACAACTGTACGGGGAGTGAATTTTTATTTAATTTACCCTTTTATTATGACTTAAAGTTACACATTTTCATGAGTGGGACTACTTTGAGTGACAGGCTTCTGCAAGTAGTCACGACAGTTCATGAGCCAGATCCACCATTCGCTCCTCCACAACTTCAACCTCTCACCCAAATTTGGTCACCTCTGGCTGCAAAAAACCAAGATGGTGACAGCCAAAAGCTACAATTTAGGCTTCAAAACAGTCCACCAACCAATGGGTGACATCACGGTGGCTGTGTCGATTATTTTAAACAGTCTGTGCATAAATATTAAAATGAAGTAAGAATGAGAAAAACCCATTTTGACTGAAAAGTGACTTTAGCTATTAATGAAGTCATAATCACAACCTTTTCAAATTAAGTATGAACGTTTTTAGAAGGTAGAATAAATTTTTGTCTTTCTCAAATTAAGTAGTCAAGTAGTCTTTTTTTTTTTTTTTAGATTTATGTGTCACATGAGTGATGCAGCTCCAGTGTCGTCATCTGATCGTCGCTCTCCTGCAGCGTGTGGAAACATTCCGATCCACTGTCAGCCCGTGACATCACAACAGTGAGGTATCAGCTGACTGACACACTCTTCACATGACCTTCATATCTGCTGAGAGCCTGACTGCTGCAGGCTGCCAGTGACACTGCTGTCGGTACTTCTGGGTTTTTAGCCCTGTATTAATCAATTAAGAATTAATACAATGAAAATAACTAAAGCAAACATAAATATCACATAGACCAGACCACAGATTTCAGATATATGTACCACATGAAACAATAGTAACATCTAAAAACACTGTGGATCCAGTTAAGCAGTTTGCCAGTGGAGAGTCTATTTAAAGTTCTGAAACTTTATGCCTCTGTTGGAGATGGCTGCCGTAAGAACGTTACGTGTATTACGTGATCAGAAGCACCGCTCTATATTTATCAAATCATGGGACCTGCCAGAGGACACGCAACATGGTGCTGCTGAGACTCCAGACTTCTTAGACCTTTACCTCCTGTAGACACACGTCACTGCTGAAGCAGGACAGGTAGGAAACCTGCATGGATGTACGAGTAAATATGCAAACAGCTAGAAGTACAGAGAAAATAAATACTTACTGTTGCCATACATGCTTTTTATTTAACTGATGATCGTTTCAGTTTACTGGCAAATTTTCAGTTGCTGCTTAACAAGATTTCTTATATCAGATCATCATATCATATCAGATAGGTTTAGATCAGATTACATCGCTAGAAATGTTGTAACAAGTTGCTGCATTTCATTTGCATGCATGCTCATTTTTTAATTGCATAAATGGCTTTATTAGTCTGTTGATTTAATTATCTTGTGGCAGTTTCGGTTTTTGGTATTCATGCTTGCAACGTGTTTTTTCTGGGTGTCAATTCTAAAAGCTCCTTAATTTTATGATGCAAAAATTATGATGCCAAAATACAACTGATTACTTTTAAAATTCAGCTCTTCTGATTTATTTTTTAGGTTATATTGTGCTCTTCAATTCAAAATGGAGGACTTTGAGTACAGTGTGGAGATCAGTGACCGTGACTGGGATTGCTTCTTTGCGGAGTGCGAGGAGTGTAGCCTGCTTCCTCCTTCATTAGCACGTTTGGATGACTCGGGTTTGAGTGACATTGATGACACAGGGTCCATTCTTTCTAAGAAGGCTCAGGGAGTCGACCCAAAGGCAGGCTTTTCAGAAGCGGACCATCCCATCGATGGCCTGCCAGACTGTGAGGGCTCTCCTGTGGAGCATTACCTCAGCAAACACACCATTGGTGGAATGGAAAGCGTGCTCTCGGGCAGTGAGGAGGATATACACCTGCAGTCTGTCAATATATTCTTTGAAAGGCTGAAAAACCTTACAGAGGCTGAGGGGCTTACCGAGCCAAGCCAAGTGAGAGCTGGAAAAAACAGAGAGGCAACACAGGAGGAGGAGCGGTGTAGTGATGGGCAACAAGCCAGCAGCTGTTCTTTGCCAAGAAACATCCCCAAGTTAAACTCTCTGCCTGCCAGCGGTGGAACAGCAGTTGGCAGAGAGAGCATGGGGCCTGTCGACACCGTCAGCAACATAAACACAATGAAAAAAGACATGCCTGGTTCCAACATTTCCCCTGAACTTGCAGCCAGTAACTTGGTGCTCGAGACTAACAAATCAACTTACCCTGAAACAAGGTTATTCATCAGAGAGGAAGCCTGCACAGAAACCAGGGTAAATGAGGCAACACAGCTGAATCAGTCTCATGACTCACCGGAGGGGGCTGTGTGCTCAGAAACAACACCTCACACTGACATGGTGATAAAGGTGGAAATGTGCCCACCTCTGGATGATGTTAAGCAGAAAGATTTGTTAAGTCACTTAACTCTTGGTAAAAAGTGCAGCACTGATTCATCGAGTAATCTTGAAATGGTGACAAATGTTAAATGGAAGGAAGACCAATACCCTGATGTTTTCCAGTCAGATGCAACATGCACGAGCAAATCAGCAAGCCAGGAATCGTCTCCATCCAGCTCTATCAAAAGAAAGAGAAGGAAGAAGAGACGACTCAGTGCTGAGCCAGCTGAGGGTGTGCATGGATATGATAGGCAGGGTTTCGTTAAGTATAGTGACTCAGAGGAAGAACCGCATGCATGGAGGGGAGGAACGAGTCACTGTTTATCTGAAGAAATTAATTTATCTCATTTAAATGAACCACAAAAAAATGTTATGTCCTCTTTAACACCATATTTAGCCACCAGCAATCTCCCAGTGAAGACATCTGTTGAGGAGCACAAAATAAATGACCTGTCTCATTTCAGCATGGCATGTGACAGTCAATACCATTATTTACCAGAGAGCATAGTCAGAGAGGGAGGGTGTAAAGCAACAGGCTTAGCTGAAAATAATGCAACTAATGACAGGTCAGTAATCCCACTGAGTGAAACTGGTTACAGTCTAATGTCAGCACCAAACAACAGTGACAATGTGGCCAGAAATCTGTTTGCAGTTTCAACTGCTGATAGTGTAACTGGTAAATCAGACCTGGCCACAGAGACTGCAAACTGTGGAGGAAAGGATGTTCATTCAGGGAGTCTCCAGCAGTCTGACAAGATTAATCATATTATTTGTTGTGAAAATGAACAAAAGTCCGAATCTTGTACAGCAGAGGTCAAATCAATGAGTATTTTACCGAGCACAAAGTCAAATGATCCTGCGATGGAAGTCAGCCAACATGGCAAAATATCTGCTGCTAAGTCAGTCCTGGCTGCAGAGGCTGGAAATTCTGGCAGAGATAACTGTACACTGTGTCAAAGAGAGGGTGAGCCCCAACAACAGCTGGAAATTGGCTGTCAAGACAGAGACCGTTATAGATCTATGCTGGAAAAGACTGACTTTCCTCTGTCTGCAAGCAGCTCTGATGCTTACAACACAAAACCCAAGCAATTCAAATATGTAACCTATCCATTCTTGGATATTTCCAGTAAAGCAGACTGTGCTAAATTAGCGTTAGATACCAGCAGCGCATTGCCTGATAAACACTGTCTGACTAAAAGTCCCCCCAGTTCAGATATATATGTTACAGCACAGCAAACAGAACATCCTAACACATTATCCAGTTCTGATGTTTTGTCAGAGAAAAAAACAACAGATGGGAGATTTGAATTTGCAGCATCACAGATAATGGCCTTTATAAGTGGGAATTCTTCTCAATCTGGTGAAATTAATCAAACAGGCAAAAGTCAGAGAGGAACCAAATCGTCCATGTCTGAAGATGTACTCACAAGTGTTTCAGATTTTACATCAGTGTCATCCTGCTGCACTCTGGACACAGAATCTTTCATGTCACTCTCAAATGAAAGTATCATAGACATGTCAGAGAGTTGTTTATCTGTCAAACAAAATGACCCTGAAGAAGAGAAAGCATCACTAATACTGGCAAAACATGAAGAGGGAGATGGCATATCTGAATCCAAAAGCCAGTCTGCATCAAATGACGCAACAGATTCAAAGTGTGATGTAGTGGTCAAAGCAGAACATGTCATCACAGCTTCCAAAGCAGAATGTGAACTCGTGAAGGCACCAGATTCAAAACATTCAGTGTTTGCTATGTCTTCTTTTTGGAGTGAGATGGAGAAACTGACAATAAACGATATTCTGGGTTTACGAATGATCAGCAAAGCTGCTCCACCCAGCCTGCTCCCATCTTTACAAGAAAGTGAGGAGAGTGACACGCTCGCTATGACAGATTCTGGCTTTTTTACTCAGCTGGATGAGTCCAAGCCTGAACAAATTGATGAAGACACGTCCGGCAACCTTACCTCTGTAGGATCAAGTCCTGTTATAGCAGTCGATTCCTCCTCTTCAGGAGATGTTACGTGGGAGAGCCTAAGTGCTGATATTTACACTGAGAATATGATGTTGACATCTCTTAGGGACATTTCTCAACCGCTTCTCCCTGGAGGTGTTCAAACAGGCCCCAGAAAGATTTCTAAAAATGTAAGCGTGCACGATCTACATGCCCTGGCATCTGATTCTTTCAGCTTCACGAGGAAAGGTCCAACTATACAAACCTTAAATGAAGGAGAATTGCAGAAAGGAGAGAGTTTCACTGATGGAGACATGCCTAAGCAAGACAAAGATGGGGACTCTTTAGCTTCATCTTCCACAGGCAGCTACAAAATCTCTCTCACAGATATATTTCAGTATCTCTTCAGTGGAAAGCAATCAGTTCCCAGCCAGTCAGCCACAGATAACATAACCAACAGCTACACTGATGGAAATTCTGTTCCTGAAACGTATGATCATTTCTTCTCAGACTTTGATACAGAAAGCTTCTTCTACCCTCTCATCAGTGCAGAAGGTCAGACCAAAAACGAGCTGGTCCCTATCTTTTCCTACTCTCGTTCAGCTAATAGAAATCTACAGTTCCCTGAGGCTTATGATCACTTTTTTGCATCCTCGTCTTCTGATGATTCGTCAGTGGAGTCGGATGAAGAAGATAGCTGTGGTCCTGTGAAGGTGGTGACCAGGCTCAACCATATATCAAATGCATCCCAGGTTTCTACAGATGTGTATGATAATTTCTTCACAGATAGCGACCTCAGACAGAATTTCTTTTGGAAAAACACATTCTCCTTCAGGAATGTTGGTTTTACTGGATCTGCAGTGCAGAAGAAGACTCTTTCACCCCCCCTGGCTTGTGTACCTGGGAAGCAAAGTGCCAGATCTCTTCGAAGGACAATGTATCCTATGAATGCTCTGGGAAATCAAGACAGGATTTTTCCTGATCCACTTCTCCTCCACTTGGACGAGAGCATCTACAGACAACTAGCACAGCAGCCTTTCAAATACGAGGACTTGCAAATGGCTGTATCAAATCCAAGTAAGTCCAGCTTTCCACAGTGAACACAATGATGTGTCATTATAGATAGGAATAACATATGCTATTACAGTCATTGAAGTAAGTCCTATATTGGAGTCAAAGTAGAAATATCAGAGTATGATTCAGATCACATCAGTTCAGAAAACCTTTATTGTCCATCAGGGAGCAGGATACAATACAACACACCCATTGAATTCAGAGAAAACAATCAATTATGAGTCTCAGCAATGCTATCTGGCAATTAAAACAGAGACGTCTATCTGTTTGGTACACATCAAAACAGATATTTGCCAAGATTTTACTCTATGAAATTTCACAGAATAATGGTTCAAGTAAATCCGTGATTAAAAAGTGAACAAAACTGTAGCATTATCTACAAAATCTTACTTGATCTGTTATCATGCTTAGGTTGATTAAAAAGGAACTGCACCAATTTAACACATCAAAGTCTGTTTACAGGTATTAGGGAGTACTACTAGATATGTGCAAAAAGTTGTATGAAGCATTTTGTGGAGGGATCTGTGTGAAATTTAATAAATGTTTGGAGGTTAAAAAAAAAGTTTATAAAGGATTGTAGAGTTAGATAGATGTGATCTCACTGTGGACCTCAGCTCTGCTTAAGGCTAGTGGCTCGAGCCTACATTAGCTGGTACTAGCCTAACACACCTGAATCTCTGTCTGAACTTTCTGTTTGTGTGTTGCATTCTGGGTAATGAAGGCACCACGTTTTGACAAGGAAGAAGAATGTGTGGAAAAATATTTCTGGCTCTTTAGCACCGAGTTTAGCTGTCCATTGTAGGTTCAACATACGTAACACATTGCTTACAAGTCTTCTTCATGAGCAATTGAGAAAAGCACAAAATGCTTGGCGAGATGAGGCAGCGCCAAAAGGGCTGGGGTGTCTGATTTTACAAAGATTGTCAGCCTTTAAAGAAATCCCTTAAAGATTTTTTTGGCTTTTTTGCCTTTATTTGATAGGACATTTGAAGTGTGAAAGGAGATGACATGCAGCAAAGGGCTGCAGGCCAGAATCAAACCCATAGCCACTGAGGCAAGGACACTGCTTACTGCTAACATGGGACATCTGCTCAACCCACAAAGCCACCAGGCACCCTTAAAGAGATTTCTAACTTCATTAAACTCCCTGTTTTGCACAAACCTGGATAGTTCTTAAAGGATTGTTACACCCACAAAATGACCATTTGTGCGTCAATTACTCACCGCATGTTACCTTCGATTTGTAAAGAAAACGTTTTTCTCATATGCCTCTGCAGTGAACTGAAAATGAGAAATAGGTGATTATTCTTCACAGATTGAAGTCATTGGGGACCATGTTTAACAGCAGCAAATCTATAAAAAATCAGTTTATGAACGTTCAAACAACTTGTGCAGTGTGAACCAAGTCTCTTTCATCCAGTCGTATGTTGAGTACCTCCCAATCACATGCATTTTTGCTAAAACCTTACAATTTAAAACCACTTATGCTTTTTTTTTCACTTAAATCTTTATTAGAACAATTTTTGTGACATTGATATGTCAGTTACAACAGCATGATAAAGTGATAATTATACCGATACGACTGGATATCCGGTTTGACAAGCGAGAGATACAGCTGCTTCAGTAGCAGCCTCCTCAATCGATACGAATCAGCCATGAATCCTTAGATGAATCGATTGTAGATTCATGGATCAGGTATCGCGAGACTAGCAATTGGTTGACTGGCTTTAACAGTTTGCATCTCTAAAACAACGCGAGAGCCGGCGGCATGCTCCGTAGCAGGCATTACTGACAACGATAATGGATGTAAACATCAGCGCCAGCTTGACCGGTGGAGCTGAGGAACAGAAGCTAATGCTGGTTGGATAAACCAGGGAGCAGCCAAGCCGCAACAGAAACTAAAGGCGAATCCTGCCAGTTGTGGGTTGAATGGGTGGTCACTAGGGCTGTCAACGAATATTCTAAATTCGAATTTAAATTCGAATTTGAAAAAAAAATGGACCTTCAAAGGTGAAAATTGATATTTGATTGTGGAGAAAAAAAAAACACCACCGCAGCTGTCCTCTTTGCGAGTGGGCGTTGGCCTGGGCCGCTGCACCGAACGCACTGCATAAGGCCACACCGCCCGCGGAGGTGCTGCGAAGCGCAGCGCACGAGCCGGAGCATTTCCGTTCACATCAGACGCGCATTTCTCCACGCTGGTCGACAAGCGGCTCTGCTCCCAGCTGTTGTCTCCGTCACCCGGCTTGACACATTCGCTCGCGCAGAAAATAGACCAGAGCCGGCCACGGAGCTGCGCGGCGCAGCGCAGCCGGTGTGAATGACACAATCGGTTAACATGGGCGCCGAAAGGAAACTGGCTTCACTTCTCGGCGCTTCGAGGCTATTTGCAGCGCTTCTGCCAGCGGTGTGGCCTGACGGGTCAGAGAGAGGGGGGGGCGAGCGAGAGGTCCGCGGTCATAATATAACGTAATGTTATAGATAATTGTTTTATGTGTTTTAATGTGTAGGTATGTAAATGTTTTCAAAGACGTTTATGTTGAACTAAAAATACCTACAAGTAGGCTAGTTATGTTTCCTTGTATTAATACATATACAAGTATGTTTCCTTGTATTAGTTTGCCCTCTTGTGGACATAATGCGAAAAAAAAAAAATTTGAATGGTTCGAACCTATGAGTTATTTTTAGAAGGAATATTTGAATGTCATTTTTGAGCAATTTTGACAGCCCTAGTGGTCACAGACACAGACAGAAATACGTATTCCTGTCAAATACGGCAGCCATAGTGCTCCGTGGCGCAAGATAACGGCTTACCGGCGACCGAGAAGCCCGGCTCCAGGTCCAAGAAGTCTTCATCGGTGTCATGACTGCCCAAAAATACCTGAACAGCCGAGCCGTGGCAGCACACAGGTATGTGACGTGTCAGAGGAGAAACGAGCCGTTCACATTTCCACAAACCTCACCGCACTTTAGGGACTGTCCTTTACTTGTCAGAGGAGGAGGGTGGCTGGTTGATTTTTATTTTATTTATTTATTTTATTTTGATCCCCCCTATGTTAATCACTTACTGATGCTGTTTTTGAAGTATGAATAAGTCATTAAGTAATTTATTCCATTGAAATATCATTGATGTTTTATAGAAAAGTGATTTATCTTTTTATAAATGACAAACACAGAGTGTAGCAAACACAGAGAAATAGTCTGACATGCTGTCAGTGATAAGCTGCTAGTCATCACAGTCCATGATATCAAGTAATAACAGGAGATGTCAGATTCTGCCCCTACATTGCATGTTATTATTTTATTCTGCTTTATGTTTATATTGTACAGCGTTATGATAAACTTTATTCCACACTCAAGTCCATATAAGATACATACAAAAACACAGACTGTGTGATTTTGTTGTTGTTTGTCTTTTTATTTTATTTTTGCCAGTGCCATACAGCAACAATGCTTGGGGATGTGGTCTTTTACAAATTTGAAAATACTGTAAGAATGTCACTTTTATAGAATTGGCTTCTTTATTTTATAATATATGATTAATGTCTACATCAACAAATGTTAACCATAGAATCATATCAAATCGTATCGAATTGTATCGTTCCTACACTGTATTGAATCGTATCGAATCATTCTGTATTAAAAATATATTGTTTTTGAATCGTATCGTAACCCGTGTATCTAGATATGTATCGAATCGTCTATCACAGAGAGATTCCCAACCCTAGTGATAATATAATTTAATTGAAAAATAGTAACGAAACAAAAACTGCTTGGTTAAATACACATTTTTACAGCCTTAAGGATTAGTGTATCTATTGATTATTATCGTCTTTTTGAGTCTTGTATAGATGTCTGTCAATTTCTCAATTTAAAAAATTTCTTGCACAATTGTTAGCCATTAGTCTTTCGTTGGTTGTGTTTCTTTACCCCAGTTTCTAGTGATAGCTTTCTTGCTTGCGACTAGCAATATGTTGATCAAATATATGTCACCAGCAATAACATGTTCTTCAGAAAATTTACATAGATAAAGCACCAAACAACTGGTAGGAACCTCATATCCTACCATGTTCCATTTCCCAAAATACAGTTATTTTCTGACATTTCCAAAAACATGAGAGTGGTCTACATCAAAAGACCAGCACTCTCTTGCGGCGTCGGTAGCGTAGTGGATAGTGTCGGTGCCCCATGTACAGAGGCGATGCCTCGCTGCAGCAGTCGCAGGTTCGACTCTGGCTTGCAACCCTTTGCTGCACGTCAACCCCCACTCACTCTCTCTCTCACCCCATTTCAATCTGTCCTGTCCATTAAAGGCAAAAAGCCCAAAAAAAAAATCTTTAAAAAAAAAGAAAAAAAAGACCGGCACTCTCACCAACATTTCGGACAACTATGGGGATGCTTACTCTATAGTTTTGGTTGTAATAAAGAAATGAATTAGATTCCTCCATGAAAATTCCCTCCAGGTTCGTGAATTAGTGGTTGTAAGGTGTATGTTCCACTTATTATGCCAATCTTCATCTGAAATGTCTTCATTGAGTTCCTTCTCCGATTTCACCTTGATAACATTTAGTTGAATGTTTGTCATTTGTGTTCAGTCCTCGATATAATGCCGAAATTATTCTCATGTTACTTTCCTGATATGCTTTAATTATGATGTGGATAACACCATTCACCTCCTTGGAAGAATCTGATTTGATTTCCCTTAAAATTTATTTACGTTTTACGTAACGTTAAACCACTCTGAATTTGATCAGATGATTCTAAGAACAAAGTAAAGACTGGTTTAACTTGTCCAGTCTGACAGACAGTACCTTTGTGAAACCAGGGAGGCTGTCAGCTAACACAGTAGCTCAGATTTTAAAAATAGTTAAATCATTTTTTTTCTTTTTTTTTTTTTTTTAAATGATGAGGTATGTATCAATAATGTGTTCAACCTCTGTCAGTAAGGCTCTTTGTGTTGTCCTCATACATGAACAGTTGTAATGTAGGATATGTAATCTACTCAGTCAGCTGTTACAGTCCAGAACGGACTGTAACTGGCATCATCTGTCTGGGACGGACTTCCTTACATCAGCTGTCAGAGGACACTGACTGGGCTGCAGGCACGTAGGGTGAAAACCAAGAGGAGAGGTTGTACGTGATGACTTGACTTCATTCAATGCCTGTCCTCTCTGAGCTGACAGTTGAGTGCTGTAGTTTATGTTTGGCTGTGAGGGAAAATACCTCAACTTGAGAAGTCTTTATGTATATGTAATTCTTCTTCTTAAATGTCCGCTTAGCTGTAATTAAGATAACTTATAGGGTACTGATATAGCACCCAATGGTCAGCAGTTGCCGGTGAGGGTTATCTTAAGGCCACTCCAGTCATGAATGCAAATATCAGTAGCGTTAAGCAGCCTTGTATGTTTGCGCAACAGTAATCTGTGCAGGTGCTGGGATTTGACCGGGTCACAGTGTGACAGAACAGGAAGTCCGAACATATTACTGGGGGCTTGTGCTCAGCTGTTGGTGTGTTAGTGCCAATTATGATGCCCTTCACCTCTCACTGGACTTCTCTGTGGATGATTGCTGTCACTTGATGTGTCACACTTAATGATTTAAGATGTTTTCTATAACACTCTGTCACTTTCTTTGAAGGGTTAGATGCCTCCCTCCTGCCTCTCAGGCAGTCAGACATGTGTCTGGTTTGTATTGCGTTTGCTTCTTGGGTGCTGAAGACTGCAAACCCACAAGTTGGAGATGCCTGGAAGGCTGGTATGTGCGTGTATATGTAGCATTAATGTACTTTCATGACAGAAAACCTGCAAATGTTGCTTTTAAAAAAATGAAAATACAAAGCAGCAGTCCATCTCAGCTTTTAAGGTCTGTAAGGGCTGACTGTTAATGATATGCTGAGGATGTAAAATGTGAAAAGGTTAAATCAACAAGCATTGAAAAAAGTCAACTTCAAGAGACACTGAACTTGTATAAACAGATAAATTCAATGTTGGGTTGCAAAGTCTCATGAGTAAAATGATGACTCACTTTTCATATGTATTCTCACACAGTTCTGCTGGCGAATGTAAGTGCCCTGTCAGCCATTCGATACCTGCGTAAATACGTCAAGAAAGAGGCGGCAGCCAATGAGAAGAAATTGGAATACCCCACCCTGTCTGATTCATGATGTCTCTGTCTCTGAATATTTCAAGCTTCAGATGAAGCATTTTTCCATGAACACCTCATATGAGCCAGTGCAAGATCTCAGTCCTTTGAAGAATTTGTCAAATGTTTGACATGCTGTTTCATGTCTCCATTGCGTATTTGCACTATAATCGCTTCAAATGTTGATCTCTCTATTGAATAGATATGGAAGGAGGTTTCATTAATAGCAGTTTTGCTTTTTGGTAGATTATTTTTGCACACATTTTGATGTCTGAAAGATTAATATAAAATATGAAATGACCAAAGGCAAGATGAAACCTGTACATTTATCAGAAAGGAGGCTTTGGACATTTGTGATTAAGGTTTTAGGATGTGTTTACTGATGGAAGGATAGAGGCAAGTTTGCTCAGAGCTATACAGAGTTGAGATGTTAGATGGACATGTGATAAAAGGATTAACTTGAGGAACGATTTAGGATGGTTTGTTTCCATTCCATTCATTTAGCAGATGATTTTTTATCCAAAGCGACTGTTAAATATTTCCACAACAGTAATTGAAAGTGTTTTACAAAATGAGATATGAGGTGACATCTATTACAGTGTTTCCCAAAATGACAATTTAGCAAAACACCCTTGGAAAATTAATTTGAGGGACTGTGTTCTTTGCCAGTATCAGTTCTATTATTTATGATGGGCATTTTATTTTCATAATAGATCATTCATAGATGACTGTATTTTATTTATTTTATTGGTTGCTCTGTGAGCTGTTGATGTTTTTCAGTTTAACTTCAATAAACAGCGTCTGAGATGTTTGCTTTGTCTCGTTCTTCCATAAGCACTCAGACCTGAAGGTGGTACTCCTCAAACACTAGAGGGCAGCATAGGCTCATGTAAGAACCTATCACAGCTGGTTGAACTGTAGTTTGTTAACTTGATTTTCAATATCGACCAATGATATTAGTTAAAGGTAATAATTAAAATTATACATGATAATAATATGCTGATTTAACATCATTGCCAAGTATTCACAGGAGAGCCTGCCCTTTTGAGGAATCATACATATTTTTCTCCAGCAGATGGCAAGGTTGAACCATAAACTATAAAGTAGCCTGATGTTGAAAGCAGCACAAGAAGCTGTTGCAGTATATTCTCACAGCACAAACAATCAGTAGAGCATGTTAGAACTGGGTTATGCATTACAAAATCTCACTGATTTACCCATGCTGGCTCTACAGTACTCACTGTTTTTAAATGTCGTAATAAAACAGTTGTTTGATTACTGTAATTGGAGTACCAATACTTTTTTAGTAGTATACTGAATTTATAGGCCACAGATGTAAACCTGCAATAATAAATGTCTTTGGCTACCTGGAGGCAGTTGAAATAAGTTGTGAACACAGCATTTTACACATCATCATCATCTTTTAAGTTGATAGAGCAAACCTGTTAACTGACAGTTGCTTATTTACACATCCATTAAGTTCTGTTTTTGGTCTCTATCATTTCCGGGATATATAAAAAATAAAATATTTGGCTCTTTAGCTGCTGGATGCTCCACAATGTTCACTGGCTAGTTATCAGTGCTGCGTGGGTAGTGTACAGTGGATAATGATGTGCTTTCTATTTGAACTGGAAGGTCACAGTGTCTGTGTTCTCAGTCAGAAATTTCAACTGAAATTGGAAATTTTAGTCCCTTGGAGTTACTCACAAACCCTGACCTCAAAATCCATGGCTACTCCGCACATCAATAGTGGTTGCAGCTTTGGTAATGTACTGTTTATTAACACCTCTGTCTTATTTTTGTGTCATTAAATCTTTCGTATGCACAGTACTGTCTAACATCTATCTGTGGAAATGTTGCAAAAATGTTTGTATGCACATAATACACCGCAATGCGTTGCTATAAACTGGTATTGTTACCAATGGCTAACCTGGCTACAACAGGTATGTCTTGGTTTTCTGTCTTGTTGTACTGCAACGTGGTCAACTTGGGTGTGACATCGTTCCCAGCTCCAACTTTTGCAGGAAGTGGAGTGCAGCATTAGAGCTTTCTTGCTGAAAACGGCGCCCTGCTGCAGAGCTTCAGATTCAGTGATAATTCTCTGTGCGTTCATAACTACGAGTGACCTTAACATTGTTTTCAAATTGACAGTATTAAAATACTGATAACAGACAATTTAAGACTATCATTAGAAAAAGACAAAACAGAGATACACCTGTCAGTTCATTTTTCAAGTTTTATTTCCAAATATAAATAAACACCTCAAACAAAAATGAAAAAAGGAATCCACACAGGTATCAGTACAGCACTGTAGTAGTAATGGTTATATTAGCACCGTTTAGGCAGTCGGTTGAAGCCACATCTATTTGCCTCGATAATGTAGCATCATAACATAATACATTTACAACATTTACAAAAATATACATCTTTTACTATAACAAGCCCTGGTGGAATGCTTTTTATAGCTTTAAATAAACACAAAATAAACATAGAACAATAAGTAAACTGGACAGCATGTTAGAAAATACTATAAATATTAAAAAAAACCTGGAGGTTTTTGCACTACATATTAAACCTTTAGTGCAATTATATAATAAAAAATAACATTAAAGCTACTCAGTATATACACTCTGCTGTCTTCTGTCCCGAATGCTACATATCAAACAGTTAAAGCCTGTTTTTTACTTTCATCATGCTTTGTTTCAAGCCCATTCCTCTTCATTCCTGCACTCATCGTTCCTCTGCGTGACTACCCAACATCTAACAGCACAATTCATGGGATTTGCTGGTTCATACTGTATGCAGCAGGACCAACACCGGCTGCGATGGTTGGCTTTTATTATCCGTCAGATAGAGATCTGTTGTTTGCACACGTCCAGACGAGTGCCGGGCTATTGTTTTGTTTTATGACCATCTCTGCTGGGTTGCCATGGCACCAAGGCCTCTGGCCCCAAAGTCTAATCCCGTCCAGTGTGTCGAAATTCCAGACGCTGGCTGAATCATTCCAGTATCACAGTCGTAGTCCCAAATGTTGTCATAGTCCATTTCCTGGTCATCTGGTTCTGTGGGTTCAAGGTACGAGTGGTGATCTATAGGAGCGAGTGAAGATTCCCAGGCTTTTAGTTTCAAACAATGAAAGACAAACCTCGCCCTGCCTGTATAAACTTGGTAACAGTCCCAACAGACTTGTGTTTTTGGCCTTGTACCAGCATATAGTCTTACTGTAAAACCAGTAGTGTAACATGCCCCTACTACACCACCTTCATTTGCTATTAGTGTTATATGTCTAATAATGCAGAAACATTAAACCTGTGTGCTGAAATAATTTGGTCAGAATTAATGTGTAGATCAAAGTGAAATGCAGGTATTAGGTACATTTGTCGTGTTTTCATTTGTGATAAAAGAGCCTGTAGATACATGTGTAACCCTGCACAGTTGTGTGCTGTCAATCACAGTGCAGGAGGAAACGCTGTCTGTGAAACAGTCTTCTCTTACACTGGGCTTTCCCCCACATGGGACATCTGCAGAAATGGCATTTAGAGCTGCACTAAGCTCCATTTCATTGGCACATTTGCGCATTTCCTGCACTTTCAGTTCTGTAACCTTTAGCCTTCTGTCAGACCCAAGAGTTCAGTCAATCCAAAGTGCACCCACTGTTTAATTTAAGGCATAATGGAGTGTGAGCAATGTTCTGTGTCCTTGGTGGTATTTAGGAAGGTGGCTGCTAGTGATGACTGTCATAACTCACACTTGTGAGGAAATATGATGCTGTAGTATTATAGCTTGAAAGTGTGCCCATTGTTTTTTAGCCATGCCATGAAAATGCCTTTTTCTTTGTTTAACAAGATGAGAAATCTTGTCAGGACTGGAAGCATGCAACCAGTCATTATACACTGTCAAACATACTTGTACTACACACGCAGGTACACTACACATAAAGAGAAGAATGTTTCTAAGGTTAGTTATTGCATGCCTTCAGTTCTTACCTGGTGAGTAACCATAAGGCATCTGAGAGGTGTTCCTCATCGAGCTCGATGGGAGGAGAATCTATAAAAAGAAAACAAAAGAAAGTTACTTCCCATGATCAGCTATAACAAACATTCTCACGTTCCCAAAAATATCTGTTAGATCTGTGGCACCTGTTCAAATATCACCTGCAGAACAAGTATATACACAAGCTCTGCTGCCATACAGCGCATTACTGTTGCATTTCGTACAGCAAGATTCCAGAAACCAGAGTGTCCTGGGAGGCGAGTATCTCTGTGTTCCTCACCTGCTCTTGCCCTTGGCCGGGCACAGGCAGCAGCTTTAGCCTCGACACGGCCTCGGCTCTCTGCTCCTCTTGGCTTTGAGGAATCTCTAACTCCATGCCCAGAGCCTTTCCCTGTGAATTGGTCAGAACCAGGCTTCTCCTGCAGCGCCTGCCCGAGGGAGGGGTGCGGAGCTGGAAGGAGGAGGGTAGGAGCTGGTTGGGCTGCTGATAGTGGTGGTGGTGCTGCTGAATTGGCTCTTGCCAGCTATGCTGCTAAAGGACAGAGGGAGACATGTCAGAGTAGGGCAACTATAAACATGTACATTAAGGATGATTTCACCTGGCAGTCAAATAGACCTTCATAAAGAACAAAACTGCACTTAAAGCATTTTGGCAAAATTATTTCTGTTTTTCAAATGCAACTCTGCTGGTTCAAGGTGATTTAACCAAGAATAATGAAACAAGGAATTTATGGATTTGGATTCATTAGCTGTTAAATTTTACATGCATGTGAATGAGACCCCTCTCTAGTCACTGCATTAACCGCCCTATCTTATTTTTCACTGAACATGTGCATATGTGTGTGCACTGCTTCATATCCGACAGGCTGCGCAGGTGTAAATTGAACCTATGGATCCAGTATCGTTGACCCACTTACCACTGGCCTGGCTTCATCCAGGGAATAGATTTCTGGGCTGCAGGGCTCATCATACAGGGGCGACAAGGGCTGTCGGGGGGCGCACATGTCCGAGTGGCGCTGGGGTGCGTTCAGGGAGTAGTTCAGAGATGTCTGAGGGGTGCTCCAGCTGTTAGACTGATTACAAAAGATTCAGTTAGTTTTATACACCAAGCAATGAGAGGAAAATCAATTGCCAGTTTTCCCTGCATGTCTCTGTATCTGTCTCTATATGTCCTTGTCTCTCACACTCTGTAGGGTTCACAGAAGGAAATCCCATAAGCCACACTGTGGGATCAGATTACCAATGCCAGCCATGATCTTCAGCAGTGCTAGTGTGACAACAATCTGTTGTCTTACAAATCTGCTTCCAGCTGTCAGTGTTGTGTATAAAACTCCAACAGTAATGTGAGGATACCCCCTAAGTATAGTAAATGTGTTGTGATTGGTGGCTCAAGTTTTGTTTATGAGCTATAATAGAGCTTTCATCCCTAGCACCATCACAAAAGATTGATCTTTCAACCTCAATTCTGCACAAATGCTGCTATTAAGCCATTTGTTAACACCATATACATGACCCCTCTGAGCCGTCTGCTTGGTGAGTCTATTTTAGATACTGCTCACATGACATGTAAAATAAGTCAGCAGGCTCGAGGGGAATATTCAGTTATCAAGTTAGACGCCAGACTGAATTACCTTGACAAGCGGGGTTTTCTCCAGCCGCTGTGGGCTGGCACGGTGCAGGGCAGAGTAGGGTGTGCTGTAGACCTGAGACCGCAAGGAGCTCTCAGCTGGCTGGAGGTAGGAGCCGCGCTGGGGGGAGGAGTAGCGCAGTGACAAAGGTCGTAGGTCACGCTCGGGCCTCGTGTGGGAAGACACGCTGTTGGTCCTGCTGCCCAGGCGGGCGGTCTCAGTTGAGGAGGGACGACTGGAGCTGTACTGTAGGAACAACAAACACATCCAGAGCAAAAGTCAGCCAAGAGTTGTGGCTTTTCATCACGGATGGCATCAGGTACTTTAACCACTGAGTCCTTGTGGAACAGACATAAACTGTTTCCCCTCTCTGCAGCATTAGTTTTCTGCATCATCTTGTGTTTTTTAGTAAACACGGTTGTCGGAGTGTGAGAGAAAAAAGGTCTCCATCAATTTAATTTGGATAGTGGAGCTGAACAGCAACATGTCATCTGGGCACGGAGCCTTCTCCACTTAAAGCTAATTGGATGGGCAGTCGGCCTACATAGGCACTCTCCCAGGGGAGTTTGGTCAAAAATCCTGATAATGCAGATTTAACTTCCTGAAGAGACTGAAGTTTACAAGCAAACTTTTCAGTGCTGAATCAATGTGTGCTGCAAGAGCACGAGCACTTGTAGGTTGATGTTGTTTTTTGGGGAAAATTACTGACTTTGTTTGATTGTATTTTTGCTGGAAAGCCTGACGTACATCACTTGAACCTTTGTAACAGGAGCGGTTTGGTCTGCAGACCTTGCTTAATAATTAACTTTGTAAAAGAAAGGTGTTGCTGCTCAGCTCCACCAAAACAAACACAAGTTTTTTTAGCAGTGCACAACTAAGTCCTTCCACATTTATATCTGTGCAAATACTGTAGTGTTGGTGTTCTTACTTCAGTTTATTTGTTCGATAATACTTGAACTTGAGAGGTAGCACGCAGCTGACTTACACAGAGGGGTTCGGAGTATCCTGGGGAGAGAGGGTTGTCTTCATGAATGGGTAACTGGAGGTTGTGGGACCCACATCCACTTGATGACTGGCTGATTTTAAGAGACTCACTTCGTCCATGGCTGTTTCCACTCCATCTGTCAAACTGTGGAGCCTAAAGATTATAGGACAAAAAAATTGTATAAATTGAAATATATGACTAAGAACAAGCAAAGCTTTCGGATTTTAGTGTTTTTGAGACTTCATTTAGGCTGCTGCCGTAGTAGCAGTAGTATTTGTAGTAGTAGTAAATCATAAATCACTTATGTTGAACGTTATTTACAAAAGAGGCAGGGCCATGTTGTCTCTCTTTATGACTTGTCCTCAGACTTGAGAATTGTTATTGTTAAAACGCAGGAGGGCGGGCCTCACCTCTCGTTGCGTCGGGGTGTAGATGATGTCATACACAGAGGGCGGGGGGCTGAGAACAGGCACGTCAGCGGCTTTGAAATGCTGGATCCAGTCGCAGAACTCGGCCCTATCCAGACACGACACCACTATGGGGTTGATCAGCTTCCCTGGGGAGAGAGGAGGGGGAGGACAAAGCCTGTCATTCGGTCCGTTCGCTTACTGGAATGTGCTATAATCAGATTGTCATTCACTGGGGATAAAACCAGCTCATTCATGGAGGGTTACACTCTGTGACGATAGCGGATTCATGGAAAAGGCCACCTAGCGTAACACATGCACAAGAATGTACACTCATTTAAATCCCTTTAACATGTCCTTTGAAATGCCAGTGTGGTGAAGAGGCTGCAGTAGAGCAGCTAACTGATTCAGTGTGTTTACCTTCGATCATAAAGGTGTTGGGCTTGACGTCTTGGCAGGGTGTGGTCACAGTGATCATGTTGAGTGGAAGTTTCCCCTGTAATCATAATGACTCCTTAAAACAAGCCTTTGCAAACACTTGAGATACTGTATGCACACAGCTCAGGATGTGATTAAGTTTGAGTAAAAGGTCAGTGAGGTCAGTCGTACCTTATAGAAGAGCCCGTCATCCTCCTCTGATAGGATGATCAGCGTTGATGGGTACATTACCAGCAGTCTGTCACTCTGTTCCTGTGGACACAAGATTACAGCTGCTGATGAGCTTTGTGTGTGTGTGTGTGTGTATGTATGAGTGTGTGTGTGTGTTTGTGTTTCATTATAGTAATGGGACGGTGTTATTCTTATCCACTAGCAAAATACTTTTGTCATTAATTGGTAATGCCTGTAAACCCTTGACCATAGCCCCTTTCACACATGTACTGCAGCCCTAAACTTATCATTATCCTGCAGACAGACATTACCCAGAGTAATGTATGTGAGAATGCAGGTGAAGACACCTATGTTAAAATGGAGAGATGACGAGATTCGAGAACTTCTGCCGGTAATGGCCAAAATCGTCAGACAAATTCTCTCGAGGACTCGATTGTTTATAATCAAATTACGAATAGGCTACATAAACAAAACACAGCGATTTTCATAGCATACTTTTTGCTTTATGTCCTGCCTCCTGCACGCTCTATCCAGGTGCCACCTCTTGCCTAAACATAACAGAGTAATACCAGAGAATGCATCCGACACGTATAATCTTCTGTTGTTTGCTACATGTGCGAAAAGGCAACTCTGGACAATGTCAGGAATTCATAAGAAAAAACAGCTTATGTTTTGTTTAAATTTTCTCTATGTAGTTCTATCTTTATTAAATTATATTTCATGGTGTCAAAAGTCATCCTAAACAGGAAACCTTACACCTTAACATTTCTAAAGCAACATGAGGGATTATTTCCTCGTGGAGAAGTCAGTCTCTCCTTTGTGTGCAAGGTGAAAGGAAAGCTCAAAGTCTGGAACAGTAAAGTGAAAGAGAAACTTAGAGCAAATCAAATTTAAGTCATTTATCTCTCTGGAATGTTTTCACATTTTGATATCGTACAAGAAATAACGGCACCAAATACTTTACTGAAGGTCAGAAAATAAGACTCCAGTTATTCTGACTGTGTGAAAATAAGTCTATGAATAATACAAAGCTAGGAGTCAACCGTGGGACCTGGTGCAAACATGAAAAACACCAATATGATCTTTTAATACTCTGTTGAAAGTCACAGTTTAAATCCAAGTAAGATCCTCAGTCTAACCAGTTAGTGGGGCATTTAAAGGTGCGGCAGACTGAGAGTTTATGTTTCCTCTCCCTCTCGGAGGGTGTGTCTGGACAGACAGCTGACATTCCAGCTGTGAGGTGAGTCGAGTCACTGCGTGAGCCGGGCAAATGCTTCTCACACACCCAGGCCCTAAATCTCACACACTTCAATCGGGCTGCCGCTATTTCCCACAGTGAATTAATTACTGATATCCATGCAAGCCTTGTCATGACTACTGTTTTTACTGGCTGCCATGTGGAGCTGTATCAGCATTATTTATTTGGGATCCGGTTAGCGAGGAGTCACGTGTTTTTCAGCAGTTGGTTGCAGGTGTCTGACACTGTCTTTACACCTTGACAGGAAAATAAAGATAATAGTGTTAAATCTGCAGGAGAGGTACCATTTGCCAAAATATGGACTCCACCCTTTCCACTGACTCCTTTATTGTGTTGAGGTAATGTGTGTGTTGCACAATTTCAAAACTATGTGAGTCACCTGGATTTAGAGCTGATGTTATCCTGCTTTTATTCATCATGTGAAAAATTCCCAGAGTTTGAGAACATGTATGGATGACGAGTTACTGTTTGCTGTACTGTATATTTCCATAAACAGGCAACAGCATAGATTGCTCGTTTTACTTTTGTGTGAGAGGTCATGGTGATTCACTCTTGATAAGCAGCAGTAATGTCTTACCTGGCAGGGCAGGTGCTGCAGTTGGACTTTAGTGACGTAGGTGATGGTGCCCAGGCTGTCTCGCTGAGAGCCCTCCCATTCGTGGATGGGCTCTCTGTTTATGGAGTTCCTCAGTTCCTCTCTGCTCTCAGGAGGCTCGTCCCGGTTTAGCTGTGTTAGGTGCACAGGGGAGAATCATGAGCATAGTAAATATGAACAGAGCTCAGCCCTTCAGCAAATTTGAACATGTAGATTTTTTTCTCAGAATGTCACTCTTGTTTGTTCATTGTAAGTGCTCTTAAGCTAAGGCTTAGAAAGCATCATCAGTTCTGTTTTCTTCTGTTGTGACACAGCTAGGGTCATGTGTTTCATCAGCCATTTCCCCACCTGTGGGAGTGGAGTCAGCACTTTAGCCCTTTGCAGATGTGAGGGTTTGTTTGATGTAGGCTGTGATGCGGTCAATGCCGCTCCCTAGTATCCAGGCCTTCGGGAGAGCCAGCAGTGACCTACTTGACTCATATCTAGCTACACACTCACACACACACACACACACCCTGTTTTTATCAGGGGTGGTTGAAGCCAAAGTGTTTTCTTGGCTATTCTATCAGGTGGATTAAAAGATGATCACACTAAAGTGCTTGTTTGAATCTGTTAAAATGGATGTTGATCTTTGTTGCAGTACAGAAGCCAGCCTGATAAAATTTAACAGACTGTTTAGAGCAAAGTTAGGGCTGAGTGGTGTGGAAAAAATCAAATATCACAGTATTTCTAACCAAATGCCTTGATATCAATATGGAGATGACATTGTAGGGTTTGTCATGTCACAAAATATTTACACAGTGAGATTTTTGGTAAATCATCCACACTAATGTGGACATAATGACTAAGTGGCCAAAGGGAAACAATAAAACAGCTGGAACAGTCTGGTAAGCTCAGTAAATTACATCACTCTACTGTGATGCAGCCTTTAAAACCAGGAAAAGACAACACTTCCAATATTACAACTTTTTAACATCTTCCAGTCACATATAAATTTTTGTGGCATCAAAAATGTTCTGTTTAACTTACTTTCACTCTGGTGAAGTTTTCAGGTGCAATTGCAGTGCCACCGTTGGCCTCAATGTTTTCTTTGAGCAGGCCGAACCATAGGTCCATTTCTTCTTGGTTGGCGCAGTAGACGATAATGGGGTTAAGACTGACACCTGCAGGGTTCAAAGGTCACAAGTTCAAAAAGGGAAAGTGTCAACCAGACTTCTCCTTCTGAGGCTTTTATCAGAAAGCTTTCTGCCATGGTGGTGAATCATTAATGGTGCTCACAATCTGCTTTTCTGGCCTTTTGTAACACACTGTGCAATAAACGTTAACACATGTTCAAGACGGTAAACCACATGTAAGACCTCTTGCGGATGATCTCCCTTGACCTGCTTTGTTTGGCATTTAAAAATCATGGCAGACTCTTCCTCCCACAGGACCTGGGATGAAAAGAGCTGGAATTTCTCTCTGTCTATCAATCCCACACATACCAGAGATAACCAGCAGAGATAGCCTGTTTCATCCAGCCCCATGGCTTTGTACTGTAATTATCAGGAACCGTAGGCGGCTGACTGCTCCTTAATAAGCAGCCACTCTGGACTCATCTGTTGACTTTATCTTCATCCCAGCTCTTAAGAGTAGACCTTGACCATAGCACTCCCTTGAGAAGTCATGTCATTCCACATTTTAAGCAAGTGAGTGATGTGAAACGTATTAAGACTGGAAGCACATCATGAGACTTTCTCTCATTTAAACTTTCAGTCCGTTTACAGAGGCCATTAACTATTGTTTAAAGTAATTAACTATCATTATCTAACTTTCACAGCCACATTAATTTAAACCATGTGAAGGCTTCCGGGAATTTTTATAGACCCTCTCGTGCTGCGTTTGCTTCGTCACTCTCTAACTCACCAACATTGCTTGACGCTAAAGCTGATTCATATTCTCAGCTTGGAGCAAATCTCCACATGGGATCTTTCACTTGAGTCAGAATTTCCTCACGCTTCCTCCGCATGTTTCCCGTAAGTGATGCCACCCATAAAGTAAATAAAGGTCCACACCGAACAATGAAAACAACTGTAATACAATACCACAAAATAACAAGCTTGGTCTGGTCAAATATGAGAAGGCAACACTAAAGAGTGTCAATATTGTGACAGCAGAGATCTATTCAGATTTCAGTGAGATAGTGATGATAAAGAAATATAAATACAGAAACCCTACACCCTTCCTAAATTCTTTTACTGAGTAATTTTTACGTTCATCCCTGACTTTGCTGATTTTATTATCTCCCAGGCAAGGACCAAAGCCCTCTAGTCACTACATCAGATTATTTCTACTTAATGAAAAGAAGTCAAGTTTCAGATTGTTTTTGTTTGCTCTTAGTTCAAAAGATAAGTGCCATTTCCACTGGACGTTATTAACCTGAGCAGTTTTTGGAATGTGCCATAGATTATATGCAGTGACAAGGCTAAGAGCGGTAGCTGGGCTTTTCTGCACGACAGCTGGACTGACTGAAGTGCACCTGTTGTCTAACAAGCAGGGTCTTTAGGGCCGGTTTGCCCTCCTGACCGAGGGTGAAGGGGCCCGGCTCTAGTTAGTCTTGGGGTTGAGTGGAGGTGAAGAGGGTCGCGGCACCTTTGAATCACTGGAATGTGACAACATAGGAAATGCTGCAGCTTGAAAATAGCATGCAGTTTCTTGCTGGTTTTATACGTGAGGAAAGTTTAACTTTGATCCACAACTGATGAGAGGGTCGAACACAACAGACCACCAGCAGGGGTAAAAAATAGTGACAGAATTGAGATAAACATGAGCCAAAAACCAGCACTGTCATTTTAGCTCTAGTTCATCCTCTGTCTTACTTTCTTAAAGTTTGAAGTCAGCCACTGCAGGGTTAGCTAGCTCCAGTTTGAGTGATTGATTGGCCAAATGCAACACAACTAATAAAACTCAAAAGTGATGATTACAACATTCCAGGGCTCAGTGCCAACACCCACTTGTGTCCTTTCTAGCAAGGTCGCACTTACCGTTTATTTGAAAGGCGAATTCCTGGGGTTGGCTGTGGTTGCAGTTCTGTTGCAGGTTGCAGATGGTGAGTTCTTTCAGCGGAAGAGTTCCCTGCACACAAAAGAACAAAAAAATCAATCATGCTTCTTTGTACAAAAACAAAAATCTCATTCATACACCAGAAGCAGTCTCTGCAATGTCTCCCCAGCTCTTTTTGAGCCAGCCGTTCAGCTTTAAATATTAACAATGAATTAATCACCTTAACAGTGAGGTCAGCCTTTAAAGTCGATGATGTATTCATGTCTGCCTGACATTTGCCGTCATCTATATTCTGACTAACGCTGTTAAGGGGGTTCGCTGTCTCTTTTTTGACTCGGAGTGAAGCTCTCAACAGACAGTAAAAATGATGATTAATGGCTGCTCATGTTTTATGAGACAGGTGAAGAAACGTCATCATACTTTATGTTTACAAACACAAAGCTGGTTGGCAGGGTACGCATGTCACAAGGTATGACGACATAACATAAAACTCTGCCCTATAGGAATATTAAATATATTTTTTTTAAATCAACCCTGAGGTTAGCTGATACTGATGAACCATAGACTTGAAGGAAGTCTTGTGAAGAAAAAAAAACTCACCTGGTACGTCAGTCCGGTTGTGTTGTTGGACACAAAATGAAGGTGTGTCTGGAACAAATCCAGGTAGCAGTCATGTACATCCTGCAGAGATAATGAATGAAGTTCAAAGGTGAAAGAGTTGGAGATGCAGAAACAGCGATGATAAAAATAAGTCATGTCTGTGAGAATTATTTTCATGCAAGAAAACTGCAGTTCTTGTTTTACTGCATTATGAAAAAAATTACATACAGTGTGCACAGAGCAGCAGCCGATTCCACAGATTGGCACATTTTTAATTAGAAAACTAATCTGAAAAATCCTGTGGTTTAGTTTTAATGAAAATAAACCTTGCATGCACATAGGCTCATGTCTGGAAGCCGATGTCTTCATCTAATGCCTGTTCTGATGTTTGCTTCAGATAAGGAAAGAGTCACATAGGAGATTATTATTCTTTAATTATTCTTTAAATCTCTGCCAGGGGTTAAGTCTGATTATTTCTTTCATATTGGAACATCTTGTTCTTGTATCATCCGCCGATTCAACCAGCAGGAAGGGTTCTGATTTAGTAGGTTGGCCGAGGATTCTCAGAAATGTATGAATTTCTTCACTGACCACAAAATGCCAGTCTTTTTGACAGCAACCCTCTCTCCCTTTAATGATTCATGTATGGCTTCAGTTCCCAGCACCTTGTAATACACATTTCCTTCCTGTGTGGTAGTATTTTTTTGTTATGATACAATGTGTTCTTTTGCCTGAATGACGCTATTCCTTTAATCAATCTTTTCTCTTTAGTTTTTGACAGCTGTTGTGTCACATCTCTGACAAATCGCAGTTCCCACAGTGAGGAGCCGGTGCATCCTCTATCAGTCTCTGGGATCAGAGGAAGTCTCTCTACCCTGAGGTTTTCTCTCTGAGATGTTTCACAACTGCAGCAAAAGCAAGCATGTCCAAACACAGGCTGCGGTCTGCTTTGTGGAGAGAGGATTGGATTATTCACAGCCAGCCACCACGTCAATAACAGAGTTTCATATTTGGTGGGCACAGAGCAACATCCTGTTACTCTCCACGTCTTTTTTGTTGTTGTTTGTTTTGTTTGTGTCTTTTTCGGTTTTGACACTCATGAAGATGACTGGCATGATGTGTCATTGTAGGCTTGGCCTTTGTTTCAGACCTCATTAACCACAATGAGGACTGTGCAGCAGTGTTGTTTTCTTTTATAGTTGCTTTCCTGATGTTTCAACATACAGTCGTTAAAAAGTAATTTGGTCCACTCACCTGGCAGTGGAGGAAGCGGAAGCGAACTTTGGAGCTGTGAATCATCCGTCCGTAATTCTTCACATTGATGCTGCTCTTCTTCCAGCCGCTGGACGGGTCGTAAGGGAACGGAGGATCCCATTTTATGTTTTCTATCGTCTGCAGATCTTTATGGGACATTTCCTGCAACCAGTCATAATGTTAGTGAATTTTAGACATGACATGAATAAACCAGTTAGCCCTGCTGTTAAAATCAGTCAGGAGGTGCCAATAAAAATCAAATCACACACAGGTTGACATTTACAGGAGAGCAGTTTTGTTTGGTATGCAGATAATTGAGTTTCATGCTTTCATCATCTTCATCGAGCTGACTGAGGTTCTTACCTTTCTGGGGGTGACAGTGCACAGAATATTGATGATGCTGTTGGACTTCTCCTGTCCCTCTTGAGGATTCTTCTTGCGAAAGAGGCGACTGCTGCCAGAGAGGGAGAAGAAAACCACGTGTTACCACTCACTCTCCCAATGTTTACCATCTATCCTGTTTGCTTTTCTGTTGTCTTCCCAACTGCAGTGTCAACAAGGAATATTTCCTGTTTAAGGGAGTTCACTGTCGTCTGATGTTGACAGATCGAGAGATGACCTAATTACAGCAGTCTGTGCCCTACCGTTTTCCATTTCAAAATAAACATCAGTGACTTATGTCTCTGTTTTCCCCTCTTTTTCCATAGAAATCACTAAACTTTGAACACTGCATTCAATTTTCACAGCAGATTAATGACTTTGAATCATAATTAGTGTCACGTCACATAAATTGACCGGCGCCTCTTCCTTTGTCCTCACTCCATCAATGCCAGCCATTTAAATGATGAGAACAATCAGGTCTTGTGTTTCTGATAGTGAGGGTATGCAAAGCATAATCAGCATTCAATGTCCTCCTTTGTTTTGCATGACCCTCATCTGTTACCATCAGTGTCACATCTTCATGAGGAAGCTCCCTCACTGCAATGATAAGGCTGGGGGGCTGCTTTTACAATCTCAGCCTGTGGTTTATCTGCTTATCTGTACATGCATGTGCCAGTGTCCTCACTGCAACAAGGCAGGCTTTTGTTTGCATGGTGGGAATCAAGGTCTGTCTAATCAGGAAGTCCATGTCCAGCAACAGCCATTGGTGTACATCCATGTTTTACAACGTATCCACGCATAGACAAAATATGAAAACCATGCACGCTGATGCAATCCACATTTGCAAAGTGACAGAGGGGTAAAGATAATAGACAGGTAGCGGATTTGCAAACATTCCCTAGGTCACTGCAGTGGTATTCAACCGCTACTCACTCCTCTCCTCTGTGGGGAATACCTGAGCCTGGCCTGATTAACCAACACAAAGAGTTAGTAGGGTACACAAGAAACAGGAACACTGAACATATTGTTCGTGTTGAACCGTCGACCCAACTTAGAAAGGTGTATCAGTGTTCAAGCTTGAGCCGTTGGGGTTTTTTGAAAGGTTGCCGTGCCTTAGTTTTTATTTGAAAACCAAGAGCTACATGGCACGTTTGACAAAACCAGACCCTGAATCATCACACAGCACAGAGGAGACTGGAGCAGAGGCTAATTAGGATCAGATGTGGTGGTCCAGCAGAGTGGGCTGTACCAACATTAACATGCCCAGGCGTATAACCCTGGAGGGTTTAGGAAAACTATATAGACTAACAAGTATAACCCATAAATGTCAGACGGATTGTGTATTCATGTTCAGAGCCTTCAGGTCAGACCACGACAAGCTATTAACTTATATTCAGGTGTCATAAACCAGCTATCAGCTATTAACTATAATTGCTCACATATGATCATGATAATGAGCGGGGTCAGGTCCTGATTTTGGAGGGAAACCAGATTCACTGACAGCTGGCAGATTATCTTCACAGAGATGCAAAGAAGAGGCAAATGGTAACTGGATCATTGACACCGTTGGCCAGACGGGCACCGCTCAGGCACAGCTCTGAGACTATCCTGTATTACCATGTGATCCTGACCCTGGCCTCACAAAATTCACAACCTCTGTTTAACCCCACTGGTCAAAACCCTGACAAATACCAAGAATTCCTTCCAGCTGAAACACAGAGTCTATAATAACAAATGGCAGCAAAGTGCATGACACACTGACACAAGTACAGTAGGAACACCTGGACGTGATTTTTCTTACCTGTTTCTGCGTATGAAACTCTTGCCAGAGAATCTTAAATTGTTGTGGGGGACACATGACATGCTGCTCCCCATGCTGCCTTGCTCTGTGGGGCTTTGCGCTGCTCTGAAGAGAAACTGTGATGGATGAGTGTAATCCAAGAGTGCAGTGCACTCACTGCCGCAGTCAGTCTTGTACTGAGGGGGAAGTAGGCAGGGTGAGGGCTGTATAGTCAGACCGGTGAGAGTGTGTGTGCGTAAGAGGGGTGGAGTTTGGGGCTGTGTGTGTGTGTGTGGTGAATAATGAGTGGGAGTCACACCTTCTGTGAGTTGCCTCTGTCTGTTAAATCAATCCCAACAACAAAGACAGGGGGGCTCAGGGAGAAGTGTGCCGTTTCACACCTTCCAGGAGCCAAATGGAGCTTATTGTTGTGTGACCACTGCAATGAGTGGTCACTTAACACACTGGATGGTGTGTGTCAATCAAAAGGGACGATGGGAGCTTCCACTGGCATGCCTAGACATGAAAAATGCCTGCACACTCAAGTAGTCTATTTATTATTGGCCCACATACTTTAAACACATCAGTGTCATTATGAAACTTAAGAATCTGTGAATCTACTTCATGCTTGTTTTTTTCTACTAATTTGTAAAGAAAACACACAGTAGATGTTAAAGACTGACAAAACATCACTGTGGTATTTTCACCAAGGAGGGAGGGGTGTATCAAGTATCACATTGTTTTTAAAACACTGTGAATATAAGATTTTCTGAGTCCCGTCTTACAGGGTTTCCAAGGTCATGGAAAACCTGGAAAAGTCATGAAACTTCACAATCTGATTTTCCAGGCCTGGAAAAGTTATGAATTGGTAAACAATCATCAGAGATTTTGGAAAAGTTATGTAGTTTTATTGTGTGAAATGAAAGTTTTTGTTATCGTAATCTTTCATGGATAAGCTTCCATGTGATGTAACATAACAGCAAATGTGTTAAATGTTGGCTAGCTGCTAACGTAATGTAGCTCTCTTATGTGCTGATGTATGATCTTTGATTTACCGTTAGCATCTTCGTTTCCTCTACATGTTCCGTCAGCTAGCTGGAATATGTTCGAATAGAGATTGAATCTGATATATTTGAGTAATGCTGGGCAAGTGGAGCAAGACACATAATGTTGTGACAGCGTGATTTAAAGATTCCATACCAGTGCCCCACTTTGCGCTACTGTAGGCTACTGCATGTTTGAAATGGAGTAATTGTCATGGGCAGCCTTGGGCGTTGAGTTGTCTGTCGGAACACCAATGTGCATTCCACTTTGGTTTTAACTGGTCTGCTCTTTAAACAGAAAATCCCGCACACTGCTCTTGCTCAGCTTCACAATTTTTCAGTAACACTAATGTTTCGGCCCTCCTGTTCAACGTTGAACACTGTTGACGGAGGTGCAGGTGGACTGAAACTTTAGTGATACTAAATTGTAAGCTGCGTGAGAGCAGTGTGCAAGATTTTCTGTCCAAAGACTTGAGTGATTTTTTCCAACGCACCTGCATCTGAGACAGTTGGATGTGCAAATACTTTTCTTCAAAGTAACTGGTCTGCTCTGAAAGTAGCATGTGGTAGTTCGTTGGAAAGGAGCATTCTTTTTTTTTTCAAAACAATTAACCTACAGGCCAACATAACCACTGGCTGTCATTCCCCTACTCTGGGAGCTTCACTGCTCCATGTCCAGACAATATCCAACGTGCGCGTTGGACACTGAATAACCAAACGGTTAAAACGAAATCAAAGTGTGCTTGGCATTTGGAGTGGCAGTATATATACACATCTCGTTTATCCTAATTGTAACCTACATTTTTAGTAAGTCCTATTTGTTTATTTGCAAGGAGACAGTTCATAATAAATGTATCTACCAATATAAGCTAATGGCTAATATAGCCAGCATTGTGTTGAATAGCAAAATGCATTAAAATTAAGCTACTGATAAATTGTATTGAAAGGCTTACTGGGTATATTAATTTAAATTATATTTATGGGTTGTACTAAAAGGCTTAAAAGGCGTACAGTATGCCTGCATACCTATGTTGATGCATTGTTTTTCAGACTTGCATCCAAAAATGAGTTTATAATTAAATGCATTAAGAATACACTGATATTGCAGTTGGTTCCATTTTCCCTCGTGCTTTAAAGCCAATACCAGAATGATGTAAGTGCTTGTAAAGCAATATTACTTTATAAAGGACAATGTCTTGAGTGGTTTTAAGTTTTTCAAGTGAATATGAAAATAACTATTAAAGATTGGAGAAGCTTGCCTTTTGATTTTCATACGACAGTTAACATTTGGCATAAAGTATACTATACAGGTCTGCTCGTGTTTTATGTTGTGATATGGATCCTTGAAAAGTCATGGAAAATTTTTAGACATCTTTCCCATGAAAAAGTGTGGGTAATATTTTCCTTTAGGTACTCATCTGTCAGTAGGATGGGAAAGGAGAATAGTTTAAACAGCATGTGTGTGTATTCAAAGGCTTTAATTTTCATAAGAGGTATATGCAAATATATGCTGTTTGCATAAACCCTTTGCCTTGTAAGGAGTTTGTTCCTGAATGAGATACCCACCACCTGAAAAATTAAACTCACTCTAACAAACCAGCCTAAAATAAACTTTGGTTGCTTTTTAGTAGTTGAAATCTCCCTCTGTATTTACATTTTCTTCCCAAAGGATGTACTGTATAATGGAACAGAACATTTATTTTGATAACACAGCCAACACTGTGTAAAGTCAGCAGCCGAGTCACCAGAGGAAAATGTTTGCATTGTACATTTTTGCAAACCATGGATATGTAGCATTTTTGCGTTTCACACGTAGCATATCAACATTTCTACAGTGATGTAGTTCAGATTACATATATATGAAAGCTGACATGTAATGGGGAACTGGAGGGGATGGTGGATGACGTGAAACAAACAACAACAAAAAAGACTCCTATTTTAACGAGACATCAGGGCATTTCCAGCGGTGGTTGGGGCGACCAAACGGGTGTTTTAAATAAAAACAGGGTCTTTTTTTTCATGGTGCCAACATTGATTCATTCTTCTGTGTTGAATTACTTGAAAAGTCAATCCTCTGACGGAATCAAATTACACTTTATCTTTTACTTTTCCCTTTAGACCTTTTGGGAATTTCGTTCATAGGTTTTAGGCTGTGACACTCATGACTTACTGGAAAGCATGTAATTTTCCAGGTAGGTGTCCTTTAACGGACAGTGACAAGTGGTCTTATCAATCAGACAGAGGAGTCAAACCCTCATGATCATGTTGTGTTTGCTCATTAGTGAGATCATAGTCTGTGGTGAGTTGCTGAGGTCAGAATGAAACGTGTGCTGCTTGCTGTCAGCTATGGCCAACCTGTTCAGCCGGATCGTTAAAGCGGATGCACCTGAGGCAGAAACAGTCATCAGCTTGTGATAACAAACTATAGAGCAGTCGTTCTCACCTTCCAGCCTTCCAGATGCTGTATTATTGTTCTTTAGAACCCTGTTTGATGGGCCATGACAAGTTTTAATTTAATCAAAGAATTTAATCAAAGAAGAATACTGATTGATTGTGTGATAACTAAATACACTATAAAACATCTTGGTAAATGACTGACAAGATGTAAAGATGACTAAAGAAAGTGTCTTTTATCACATCAGTAGATGAAGACAGATTAAATAGACATGTTTTTCTTAATCTTCCCTCCACTTCACTGAGTTAACGTCTGCCACTCACATGATTTCCATTGAGTAGGGTTTGTTATACGTAAAGCAGAAGCACATTAGTAAGCAACGTGTGAAACAGCTGACCTCCAACAAGTAGGGATATATTAGTAAAGGAATGGCCAACAAAAACACATTGTGACACATTAAATTTAACCCACTTTACCCCAATTGGCTTATTTGAATTTTCTAAAGAGGTCACAAATGTCTCTCTTGTCACCGATAAATTATCCTTCCTTGAGTGGATGTGATAGAAATGTAGCCATGACAGTCAATAATAAAAACAAGCCTAAACTGGTCATTTGGTCACATTGACTTATACCAAGAGCTATTAATTAATTAATTTATTTTTTAATTTACTTCACTATATAGTTGTTATATATGAATTTGGGGGATCTTGAATATCTGGACCAAAAAAATATTATGTCATACAGCTTAATTACGATAGCACCTTATAGGGCAGATTTATACCTGTCAGTTTTGTACCAGATTTAGCTCCCTCGTGCAAAAAATGTTGAAATTCTTGGGAAAGACTTGCATCCTACCTAATGATTTTAATGTAGGTGAAAACTGGATCATCACCTGACGTGAAATGTAACTGAAACTTGACTGACCTCACAGCAGAAAATCCCTGGTTACCTCTTCCAGTTGGCAGGGTGCCTTAAGGAAATATGTGGAAGAAATGTGAGTCATCATGCTGGCTGCATGTATTGTCACGTTTATCTCCTGGCTTTTCCACGAAGATCCACAACCAGTGCTTTCATGGAAATAGAAATGATTACATAAGTTTACAGTGATCACAATGTAATCAGTTCGATTACTCAGTAAAACGGTTTTCCAAATGAATTTATTTAAAAAAGATCAGGGCTAGGACAATAGTGATTCAGAGGATCCCTCTTAGTAAGGAGTCAGAGATACCATCCAAAATATTTAAAAAAAAAATTTGTTTTTTAATGGTCAGATAGAGTTGCAAAGTGGGTGTTTTTCCCCATTCTGTGTCCATGTTTCATTTCTTTCCAAGAAGAAATCCTCAGTGTTACCTGTTATGAAAACTTTGGACTCTCCTGGATGACGCAATAATGTTATAATTTATGTTATAGGCAAGAGTTTCAAGTATTTCAACTTTGTTTCTGAGAAATCATGTTTTCCATTTTCGCCTTGGTGTCCTTAAAGATGACCCTGGTTTAATTTGCGTTGTAAACTTGTTTATTAAGATGTTAAAAATTTTAATCAAAGAATACTGATTGAATTTGAGGTAACTTAATACAGTATAAAACATCTTGGTAAGTGACTGACAAGATGTAAAGATGACTAAAGAAAGTGTCGTTTATCACATCAGTAGATGAAGACAGATAAAACAGACAACATGTTTTCTTATCTTCCCTCCGCTTCACTGAGTTATATCTGCCACTCACATGATTTCCATTGAGTAGGGT